CAGATCATACAGAATACAACAAGTAACAGCCCATTTCACATGGGTAGCAATTTTGACTCGCAGGGAGATAAGGAAATGAGGAAATTGTGATATGCGTTAGCAAAGCAACAACTCTTTAAAAGCCTTTAAAAAATATACAGCTTTAAGACTAAACTACGAATCTTCAATTCTGATGTTGTTACAGTTCTAACATATGCTAGTGAACGTTGAAGAACCATCAAAGATATGGAACGAAAGTTAAATGCATTAGAATATAAAAAAAAATATGCTTGAGAACAATCATGAACGTAAGATGGGATGAATTCAAAAAGAGTAAGGAGATCAGAGAAGTGTCTGGACAAATACTTGTATCGACCTCAATAAGACACAGAAGGTGGAGATATACTGGACACATTCTGAGACGAAATGAGCAAAGAATTACAAAACAAACATTGAAATGAGAAACAGTCTGAGAAAAAGAGGACGTTCAAGGGAAACATTAAGAAGAGCATTATTACGAAATTGAGAGAAAGTTGCATGCAGTGGAGTGGAGGAATCAAATACAAGCCCTATGTGACGTCTAACGGCAAACAAAGGATGATTATGATGACATGACTTTCTGGGACTGCAAAAGTAACAAAAGCGTTTGTTACTTGGAACTTATATAGCTCACTATGGGTTCCGGTCCTATTTGGGGGAAAAAAAAGGGGGGGGGGGGTTAATAGACCCTCTGCACTTAACAAGCATCCATTAAAAGACTATCTATGTGACTCTCCCATGTTGGGGCTCGTGTCTAGTGTTTCTTTTGATGTGCTGCTTGTCGATAAAAGCTTCGGTCGAAAAGTTTGTTTCTGTGTTTTTTCTTTCTCCCACATCTTGTTGAGCTTCCTAGTTATAGTTTGTGTTCAAACTTCTCCAAAAAAAAAAAAAAAAAGCATTAAACCGTAGCAGCAACTATTGTAACTAATTTAACGACCTTTTAGAACGTTTTTTGAAGACATTCCGCGTTCAAAGTGTAGTGAGACTATGAACATCCTGTATAATAAGCTAGCTGTAAACCACAACACAATGTGCTAGCCGCCCTTTTAACCAATCCATGCTGTGGAGCTCTGGTCTTCATGTCTTCTGTACAGTTAACAGATGTTCTTCTTTGTCATTATACCTAACTAGTAGTGTTAGTAGTAGCAGTAGCAGTAGTAGTAGTAAAGCAACAGCAGTAGCAGTGGCTGTATCAATAATCTTAGTAGCCATGTAATACTCACACATATGAATATACTGCACATATCCCAAATATAACCCAGAAGGCTTGAATAAGAAATAGATTATATAAATACTATTACTACCACTACCTAGTCAGGTGACCCAACCCACGGGACAGCAAGTTACTTCGTAACCGCAAGGTGCTCCAGTGTAACTTTTCTATCCAGTTCAAAGGGATTTCTGAAACCGGGCCTTTTTGGATTCGCATCTGAATACTACCTCTTTGAGTCACTGGGTGTCAGTCTTGGAAGGGAACAATACAAATGTTTTCTTTATATACCACTGCTATCGGAAAGTTTGATGCAAAATACCATGTGGCCTCGACGATTTCGTATTCTTAATTCAAATAATAATAATATGCTTTTTAAACTTGGCCAAAAATGGTTTCTGCATATATAGAAAACGGAGAAAGGCCTATTGATACAGAACTGGTAGTGTATTATGCAATATTGAGTATACAACTGTCTGTTTGTAATAATTACTGTTTCCATCGACGATAGGCTGCAAAAATTAGTGACATTGCTTGTGTCAGCACTTTGGCGACTGTCCTATACATTTAAAAAGTATGTATACTATTGTCGAGACTGCAGTCTGTTTCAATGTGTTTAACAAGAGCAGCGTTGAACATTCTGTATTGTTTTCGCTGACACGGGAACGGAGCAATCATGGGCTAACCCGTTTGCAGTCAAGCTGGACACAGTTTAATTGATATTGGGTAAGAAATCTAAACTAAAGATAAAATGTTGGCTGTAAGAACAACATTTAGGAAAGAAGAAGGAAGAGGAGGAGGAGTTGTAGCAGTAGTAGTTTAGATGGAGGAGGATTAAGTGTTGCGGGGCCACACTTCTAATAATCAGCTTTATTAAAAACCCATTGTTCACGGCATTACTAGTAGTAATACTACATGTTCACATCTAGAAGAAGATGAGAATTCACTGACACCAAAGCGTGAACGAAAGGTTCGTGAATGCAGCAGTAGAAATCTTAGATAAAATAGAAGATACCACGTAAACAATGGATAACAGGTGACATCTAGAAATTATGCAATATGCGACAGAGAATTAAAATGGACAAAATGCAAATTCCAGCAGCAGAACAATGCAGCATAGTTATTAGAAAAATCAGGGGGAAAATGAAAATGGCGAAAGAAGAATGAAAAAACAAACAAACATGCGAGTCGATCGATGTTGGTCTAAAACAGGGCAACACCAAGGCAGCGTAGGAGACAATAACAAGACTAACAAAACCACAACAACTCAAGACACCAATTGTAGAGGGTAAGAATAGACACATCTTTAATCAAACCATCAATATTGGAGAGATGGAACGAATATTGCAAACCTTATGTAATCAAGAAGCAGAGCCTGACACTACCGCCATAGACAACATCTGATGGGACAATAGAGAGGTTGGCCATGCTGAAATATTAAGAGAAGACGCTGAAAAGGCGATACGCTCACTTAAGGAAGGTAAATTGCCAGGTGTAGGTAGGTAAATATGTAGTTGTACCCCCACCAGGACATTACACAAGCGATAAACATCCGGTGACACAAAGTGCCACCATTCGGATGAGGATCAACCATGGAGAGGTCACAGAAACCCCTTTCAGCCGTTAGGCCATTTGTATGGCTAGGCCTTATCTATGCCCCGGCTATATTCAGGGGCCCCGGCTGAAACCAGGGTGGGGCTTCGAATAACAAAAAAATTGCATCCCACTTAGGGACGACTTTCAGACGTAAGCTCTTGTCTGGTTGGTTGATTGGTAGTTGTACCCAACCAGGACATCACACAAGCGATAAACACCCGGTGACACAAAGTGCCACCACTGGGATGAGGATCACCCGTGGAGAGGTCCCAGCAATCCCTTTTAGGCGTTAGGCCATATCTATTCCCCGGCTATATTCAGGGTCCCCGGCAGAAGCTTCAAATACCGAAAAATTGCATCCTACATTGGGACGACTAGATTAACAACCAGGCATGGACAGTACTTAACTTAGATGATGACAGATTTGTGCCAGAGGATTTGGGTCACAAAGAAGTGGCCTATTGAATGGACACAACTGTTGGTGATACCACAGCCAAAGAAAGGAAATCTGAAACTCTGCATCAAATATAGAACTATTTCTTATAACTCATTCAAGCAAATGATGCTACGGATATTGCTAAACAGACTAAAAGCAAAATCTGAAGAAATACTAGCCGAAAAACAGGCGGGTGACCAAGAAGTACCACAAAGCAAATCTTCAACATCAAAACACGTATAGAAAAACCACTTATAACATCAACACGACCTATTCCATAATTTCTTATCTTCACGAAGGCATTTATTTGACCATGTGTGGCATGCTGGGCTCTGGCAAGTAATGATAAATTTTAACTTTGATAAGAACATCATTGACACCATTAAAGCACTTTATAAACATACAAGCAGTGCAGTACTAATTCAAGATAACATAAGCACATTTTTGCAAACCAGCTGGATGAGGCAGGGCTCCATACTGTCCCCTGTCGTTTTCAATTTGTATTTAGAACACATTATTAAAAAAAAATACTAGAAAATCATGAAATACCTAAATAAATAGGCCGAAGACCACTATGTAATTTGCGTTTTGCAGACGACATTCACATCATGGCTGGTTCCGAAGCAGAACTCCAAGAACTTACTACAGAATTAGAGACAGTCTGTGGTAAACATGGCATTGAAATTAATGCCGAGAAAAGCAAGATTTTGGTAAATAGCCACAATAGTCATGTACCTACCAACATACAAATTAAAAATTAAAAAAAAAAAAAGGGGGGGGGGACTGGAAGTTTAAACTTTTAAATACCCCGACACCTACACGTGTAACGATGGCAGATGTACAAAAGACCAAGACAAGACTTTTATGGCAACAGCCACGATGTCCAAGATGAATACGACGTGGAAGAGTAAAATTAAAATTACTGTTAAGGTCAATATATACAAATCATTAGTATTGTCTATGTTCTTAAACGTATGTGAGAGCTGGACTCTCACTGGAAATGGAATACAAGTCTTTCGAATGTAAATGCTATAGACGCTTTTTACTAATTAGTTTTTTGAAACATAAAACTAAAAAATATATCAAAGACAAAATAAACAAATGTGCAGGACGTCAGGAGCTTATCTTGGCACTGGTGAAACATCGCAAGCTAGTTTGGTTCGGGCACGTGGTGAGACGTGATTCGATTGCAAAGACTGTACTTAACTGACTGACTTTCTACCCCACCAGGACATCACACAAGCGATAAACACCCGATGACACAATGTGCCACCATGTGGGTGAGGATCACCGTGGAGAGGTCCCAGAAACCGCGTTCAGCCTTTAGGCCATATAGACTGTACTTCAAGAAACATTCAGGGATAGTCAAAGGAGAGAAAGAAAAACCTAGAATGACAACATCAAGAAATGGACAGGACTAAGTTATCATACACTTGTTCATCAAGCGAGGGACAGAGAAAGATGGCGGGTTTTGTGTACTAGTAGTAGTAGTACTTCCATCGATACACTCCCACAACTCCACAATCCTAACGGGTAAGGGTATACTACATATTTCGTGTTTCAGTAACACACTCCGTCTAACTTTTTATAAACCAAACCTCAAGAGAGATTACTCTGCTTAATCTGGCCGTAAATGGCAGATTTTCCAAATTGACTTAGTGTATTTGTATCTCCGTATTACTACCTTGTCCAGACAGCGTTTTTGTTTTTAGAAGAAATAAAACATTTTCATACAGCATAATGACAAGTGATAAGACAGATTCTAAAACCAAGCCACCAGGTTTCACTTCTTTCCTAACCGGAGAATGGACAGAACTGAAAGAATCTGACAGGGTTCGTGGTTAATAATTTTATTAATTATAATAGTTAATACGGCTCTCCTTTGAATCAACCCCCAAAATGGCGGCTTGAATATGATGGCGTTCGAAAGAGAGCTAAATTGGCCTATTTCATGCCATAACATATCCAAAAATATCAGAATGCGGGTCAGTTCTATTAAAAATATATGTGCCGGCTCCGGATAACGAAACAAATGCTCTGACAGGGTCTCGGTGATACGTTACTTGCCGACCTGCTTCTGCAATTGTGCCTCACCGCCGAGCGTATCCCAACGCGCCGCTACGCGCGGCGCGGATGGGGACTAAACTAGATGGCTGGGACTCACGAGCGGCAGCTACCGCATATTCTGCAATTTCCTTCAATTACTGTACTCGTGAGTCCCAGGCACCTAGTTTAGCCCCCCATACGCGCGGCGCGGGGGATACGCTCAGCGATGAGTTTAATCGCGTTTGGCACATGCCGACAAGTCTGACATCTACCGCTGCTAAATCCTCCATTCGGAAGAACACAGTATTGCTAATCGGCTTTCATCGTCTGTAATGTCTCGAAATTTGTCAACGGTCGGTATTTATCGTCTGCTACTACTTTGTGCAAATGTTGATATTGATTGTCAAGTAATCCTAGTTTTGCCGCGATTTGTTCCTTGGCAGAAAATCCGTATTTTAGATATATGCCGTCGTTCGGATATTTTATGGCCAGAATGTGGCATGCCGCCATTTGGGGGGGGGGGTTGATTCAAAGGAGAGCATATAATACTATTTTAAATAGTAAAGTAAAGAAAATGCTATCCTCCGAATAACGGTCCCAAATTATCGAGGCAGAAAATATACCCTTACAGGACCTCAGTCACATGTCAGTTGTGGACTTCCAGGGACTATACCACCACCGCCAAATTGTGACTATATCACCACCGCCGAGAGTATGGGAGATACTCTTGGCGGTGGTGGAAGTCCATAATTCTGCAGACATATGACTGAGGCCCTGTTAGGGTATATTTTCGGCCTCAGTAATTTGGGACCATTATTCGGAGAATAGCCAAATATAATTATTAACCCACTGACTACCAAGCCCATTAACCCTTGCATTTCCCCAGATACCACGTATTTTAGTGTGTACTAAAAATGCCATAGCTTCACAACTATTTGACATAATCTCACAATATTTTGTATTTTTGCACCGAATTGAATGAAAAACAAATTTAATGGAAAAAACGTTGTTTATTCTGTTTTGCATCATCATCATGTGGCTGTAGATTGGTGCAAAAAAGGCAACTGAAAAATCTTTTATCTGACAACAACATAGATAAATAAAAACGTTATATTTTCAAAAATTTTCAACAAACATTTATTATATTTTGTATTTTTACACAAAATTGAACCGAGAACACATTTGAAGAACAAAAATGGGGTTTATTTTGTCTGAAATAATCATCATCATGTGGCTGTAGATTGTTGCAAAAAAAAGCAACTGAAAAATCCTTTATTTGACAATACAGACCCAAAAAATGTCACAGCTTATCAACAGTTCAAGATCACTCATACTATCTGATATTATTTGCACCGAATTGAATAAAGAATAAATTTCAAGGAAAAAAGTTGTTAGAATATGGGGTGCAATTGAATATCACCCAAACGAGGTGTAGTCTCAGTAGTGATCAGTAGTCATCTTCACAGGCAATAAAAGTAACACATTGACGAAAGTTGAGACGGTGATATATACTAGTCACTTCTTACAGCATTGACCGAACAGTAGACTACAGATCTAGTCATCGACCATCCTCACTGTTCACAGATAATTAAGCTTTGTCAGTGATTAGATTTCCTCCTCACTATACACCCAGCATGATGTGGCAGCAATACCAGTTCTCTGTTCATTTATTTGGTTATCAATAAGCAACTTATTAAAATTTAAAGTTGTACAGTATGATTGACTGCAGTAGGTAATTACAATCCACTGTTCTCTTTAGGAATATTGTGTGTCCCCAATCTCTTTCGCACCATGACTTTCATATAAACTGCCTTAGAGCCATAAGAATAGACTTAGCAGCCCAAGTGGTAAATTTTGCAGTTGTTTTATATAAACCTTCTCCTTGATTAAAGAAAAAAAAAACATACACAAAAAGCAAAGAAAGAATAAAGCTTTCTGGACATTGGTAGGGTCAAAAAGTTCCAGAAACTAATGAATTAGAGTTTATAATGATATATTTTGCACATTATTATACAATCGTCGATTGAATTTTTGTGTTTTATGTATAATTCCTAAAGCCTATTTCAATGAAAATAGTGTTTTAAAATGTAAATTCAATATACGACCTGTTAGTCAGAATGAGGAGACCGTTACAAGAAAAAGTTTTTTTTATCTTACAAGAAAAACATTATTTTATCCTGTATATATCTTGATTAACATAATCCAACGGTTACTCAGTTAAGTTGGTTTTTAAAGGAACAATCATTCAATCGGGTGCAACACACATTGTCTTTGGCTCTGGATTTACACTCTCTCAGACTGGTGATCGTCTATATCTTGATGCTATCTTCCCACTTGTACTGCTGTTTGCCTCTTGCTCACTTGACTTCTACTTTCCCTATCTCTGTTTGTTTTATGAGTGTCATATCTTTTAAAACAGTTGAAATATTTCACTTGTTTTATTTGTAAAGAAAGGGCCACTTTCATCGCACATACTTAGTACTTCGGTCTCTTCTTATATGTTATTGAAGGAGAATTTAAGCACAAAATACAAAGCACTGGAGTGCATTTAAATGTGTTACCAGGACCCCTAAAGGAAACAAAGAATACAAACACTATAGTCTACCATGAATGTAAAAAGAAGTGACTGTGTAGAGTTAGTGGTGGAATGGTGTCTAATTTCAAAACCTATCAAACCATAAACAGACCCACAAAGGGTTTTGTTGAAGTCCTATGCTCCAGAGGGAGTTGAAAGGCAGAAGATAAGAATGTATTATCTAATTAAAAGGGAAATCTACTATCTGACTGTTAGCAGAGAGCTGTTGTAAGAGAGATTGTCAAATATTTTTTTTTTCTTGTTACAGTTAGGAAAGTGCAGAAGTGTGACAGACTTTGAGAAGCTGAATCGAATTGGCGAAGGAACATATGGCATTGTGTGTAAGTTAAAGCTTAATTATGTCTGTATGATTTATGCACAAATATATGTGTCTATTATGTGCATACAAGACCATTCAAGACTTTCATTCAAAGGGATGTGCGTCGGACCTTGGAAGAGATCGGGTTTCACCACATAATATTCCCAGAGTCAACACTGGATACACTGCAGCCAACCTCCATTATGAAGATGGCCAGAAAAGGTAAATTAAAATTTGCATATTAGACACTTGGGAGCTGTCATGGTGTAGCGGCTTGATACTCGCCTGTGGATCTGAAGATCATGGGTTGAAGTCCAAATAGAGTCAGACTTTTTTCCCCAGAAATAACCTAGACTCCCAGGCTGATGCAGTCTCAAATTGGATACTAGGTAAAGTCCTGGAAAGTAAAGGTGGAAAGTCTAATACGCCTGTTGAATGTTGAATTAAGAGTCAACATTATAGCACTTGGGACACCTCCATAAGTGCTCTGTCCCCATCTTCAGCAACAAGCGAAGAGTTCCAATTCCAATGGCATCAGTAAGCGCCTGATTGTATATCTGTCTCCCCTTTCTCTTGAGTGTTGAGTGTCGGCTAGATCTCCTGGTCACTCCTCACAGGGCCATTCTCCTTAGACTGTAGTGATTTATTTGTGCCTCTGTACTGTTCACTCGCTCCCAAAGAGGCCTCACAACATCTAGCTTGTTATACATCAATTCAACACCAGGTGTTGCAGAACCCACCAGTTTATCTGCCTGCTCATTTCCCAGCACATCTGCATACCTGGAGAAAATATCCAAAGGATGCTAACTACCTGGGCCTCTGAAAGGATGCTTGCTACTCTGCAAGAAGCATGCCTGTCTCCACCTTTCTCAACATGCTCTATGAGTCAGTTACAATTGTGACGTGTGTACAGCTAATTCTCAAGCCAGTGGAAGGCAGCAGTGATTGCCTCCACCTCCAGTTTGGGGGAAAAAGAATACAACCACTACTCCTAACAACCGATCACATAAAGTGACTAATTAGGGTTGTTTCCTTAAGAGTGGGAGTGCTTCTGGCTGATAGATGAGGAACCAGCAGTCTGCATACAGATAAGCCAGATTTGAATACGGATGTGCACAGAAAACTCAAGGTCTAAGAGCAAAATCCAGAAGTGGGCGAATAACCAGAACTTTCTGCTGGAGTTTCCAGCCGGTGAATGATAAGAAGAACAAGTAGAATAGATTGGTGCAGTAAATATGTCACCTTAAAGTATGAAAACACGTTTTTAATTTTGACTTTGCCCTGAACTTAATGCACATTGTGCTTCTTTCGGTCATTTTAAATCATCTTTTCATTTGATAACTTTTACGTTGAATTTTATAGATCGTGCAAGAGATACAGACAGTGATAAAATTGTAGCCTTGAAGAAGATGAAACTTGATAGTGAAAAAGATGGTAAGCGATATGATTTTAATAAAATGATAAATATATTGGAATGGTCTGAAAGTATTTGATAAGCATTTCTGCGTTGAATTAATTTTTCTGCTAGAGTTGTTAGCAGTTGATCAGGTGCTGTCTTCACGGTCGAAATTTGACTGCAGGGAATCTCTAGTGTGCTCTGTCTCTCATCGTGGTTGTATGCTCTCTGCGACTGTTGTTTCTCCATCTCTTGATGTTATCCTTTTACTTGTGTCACTGTCTACCTCTTGCTCACTTACCTTTACTTTTCAGCTGTGATAGTTTTTGAGAAAAAATAAATATAAAAAAAAACGTCAGATTCAGCCAGCATTCCCAGAGAGGCAGCTTTAGGTTATAACTGTGACAAAGTTTATATGTGCCTAGGTTATAACTGTGACAAGGTTTATGTGTGCCTAGGTTATAACTGTGACAAGGTTATGTGTGCCTAGGTTATAACTGTGACAAGGTTATGTGTGCCTAGGTTATAACTGTGACAAGGTTATGTGTGCCTAGGTTATAACTGTGACAAGGTTATGTGTGCCTAGGTTATAACTTTGACAAGGTTATGTGTGCCTAGGTTATAACTGTGACAAGGTTTATGTGTGCCTAGGTTATAACTGTGACAAGGTTTATGTGTGCCATTGCATGCCACCAAGAACCCCAAAAAGGACTCCTGCAGTGTTGATGTTATCAAAGAAATCAAAGAAGACAGACCCAAATAATTTCCCGACCAGTGATTAAGTCGTCTACCGGCTAGCCAATGGGCAACCAGGTCACCAAAGCCTTAATATTCTTTTCATTTTGGTTTTTATAAGAAACTTTTGTCTTTTAATGTGATCAAAATATTTTACGGGGGAATTGGGGGGGGGGGGGGGGGGGGGGGGGGGGGGGGGGGGGGGTCTTTATGCCCTGTCTGCTTTATCAGTAACTTGTCCACAGGTTTTCTTCCAAAACATCCTTTTTGCTTTATTCAGTAACTTCTTCAAAGGTGTCCTTCATAATTTCTTGTCTGCCCACTCCCCGCCCCTTAAAAAAAAATTTAATTTAACTTACTGTCGCTGGCGCAAGCCAATTTCTATTTGCAAGTTACCAATGACGAAAGGCATCCACTGCATGGTAATTTGAACTATTTAAGAAAAGATTGGTTGAAAAAAGGAAAGTCATGGATGGCAGTAGCTGAAAATACCATCGAGACGGCGGCCTCAGTCAAGCAAATACACAGGGGACATGAACACCCACAACAGCAGTTTCCATCAGGTCATTATCATGTTAGGAAGAGAATGTAGTGATTTAATGGTATGGAAAGGCTGGACTAGATGATGCAGTAGTGTACACCGATGGTTCTGTTCATCAGGGTGTAAGATCTGGCTGGGGATTTTCAGCTAGAATGAAGGGAAAAATTGCGGCAGAACAAAACAGAGCTTTTTTATCTACAGCTTCAAGCATGAGAATGGAAGTGGAGGCAATACTGCAGCTCTGATGTGGATAGCAGAAAACAAAGTTACCAGAGGAATTATTGTGTCTGATTCTCAGTCGGCATTGCGGAAGGTTCAAAATGGACTAATGTGGCATGAGTGGATACCATGCACCAGTACGCCAACATTGCAGGAAATCACGTGGATATACTGTCCGGGATATGCAGGAGTGCGAGGGAATGAAAGACCGGAATTTCAGGCTCCAAAAGCAAAAGCTATGGGAAACTCGTATTGGACAAGGGATATATTCTGAAGACCACATATGAGCGACATTTTGCAGAAGACATGAGATCAGATGAAATAACATGGGCAAGAATGTGTGAATGAGGAATTAAGTGTGGATCCGGCAAGGAGAGATGGATGAGAGGAAGAGATCGGCTAATGTATAATCAGTGTGCAATGGGAACAGTGAGCATCTACACATTTGCTGAGGGAAACGGAGCATATATGGGTATACCCAGTGGCTATGATGTTGATTCTTAAATCCGTAAATCAGCAAAATTAATATTCTGCTCTTTTATACTATCATGTCTAGTACCTGTAGTTTTTCACTGATGGCCACCTATGTAGGAGAAGTGTCTGGCAAAGTTGTTAGAATACTATAGGGGCAGCACTTGTAGATGAAGGGACAGAGAATATTAACACAAATTAAGCTGTCATGTCCCATGAAACCAGGTGGGAACACTAACCTGGTAAACAAATGCCTGGTGTTGTTGGATGCGTCAGCTGAAAGGCACAAATTTCGCAGCTTTGCTGTAAATAGGAACAACGCATTTACGCCACTCGGACAAAGGATGAAGAGGAAGAAGAAGAGATCGTTGAGGGTGTGATGGAAATTTTTGTATAAAAAAATATTTATATGTATATACATTCTTAATCTGCATTTTGTGGTGATGGCACTAGCCATGGGGTCATGTGGCACGCATGTCAGATCCCCCCCCCCCCCCCCCCCCCCAAAAAACTCTTCTATGGTGAGCAGCAAAGTGGAAAACGTTCCCAAGGGGGGCAAAAAAACACACGCTTTAAGGACACCTTGAAGTCTTCACTCAAAGCATTTAGGATGAATGACACCAATTGGGAGGCTGCCTCTCAAGACCGTAATGCATGGCGTGCAACTCTACACAAAGGCGCGGCTACATGTGAAGCAAACAGAACAGCACGACTGATTAGGAAAAGGATGGACAGAAAGGCGACTGCAGGAGATCCCCTCCCTGGCACAACACTTATTCCCTGTCCTCACCATCCAAGAACTTTTCAGGCCCGCATCGGCCTCACCAGTCATCTTTGTACTCATACTTGATGAAAAAGAGTGGTCATCTTGATGGACAACACACACTAGCCATGCAGTCTTAAATCCTCAAACTAAAATGGCATCCCGCCTGTACTGCCCTTATAAGTAGTGTAGTGTAATAAGAGCAGCAACAGACATTTAAAAAAAAAAAAAAACCTTGTATAATGTTTCCTAATTTATCTGGACAGGAATTCAGGTGACTGGCTTAAGAGAGATCAACATTCTACTGAACATTCGTCACAAAAACATTGTGGAAATGAAGGAGGTCGTCGTCGGCAAAAGTCTTGAAAGGTGTGATTTATCAAACATTCAATTTTTTTTCCCCAATTCCTATTTGATAAACAAAAATTCCAAGCCCTAAAGCCTGCTATGTGAAGGAAGGTTCCTTGGCTATCTCATTTGGTGTCCTATTCTTTGTGGTGTGAAGTCTGACCTGATAAAAAAAAAATGTGATCTTTATTTTTATAGTGAGCATTCTCCCCATGTGGGTTCTGGTAGTCCACTTTTGGGGAAAACTATAATAGACCCACTGCCTCCCAGCAAGCATGTGATAAAAAGTGAGTAATTGGGGATTTGCTGAAATCAGATGAGTTGAGCTGAAAGGTGCAGTTATCACAGCCTAGCTGGAAACCACAACTCATTGTGAAAGTAAGTATTAGTCATGAAAATGCAGAAAAAAATTACCTTCAGACTAATTACATTGAAATGGGCTTGCTTGTGCTGCTTTAATGTTTCCTAGACTTTGTTATTGTTTTATGTTGTCCCCGTGTGGGTTCCAGGGCTCTGTTATGGGGATAACAAAAATAGCCCCACTGGCTACCCCAAAGCATTTCCTTAAAGTCGAATCATTGGGAGCTTCCTTCACATTCGGAGTGCATCTGCTTTTAATCTCTGTCACACATTTTCCATCTGATAATATGATTGTTCCCTTGTAATACTAAACTAATATTTAACAGTTTGGGAGACCGACAAATTTTTTGTCTCAGACACACATAGATATGTTGTTTTAAGGAAGATAAAAGTTAAATAAAATTTTGAAAAATAACCTCTTCAAAGGAAAAAATAGGAAAACAATATACATAATATATATATATATATATATATATATATATATATATATATATATATATATATATATAATTCCAGCTAAAGTTTACTTTTACTGATTGTTGCAGTAAATAAAGAAATGCACAATAACCTTGGCTGCCAGTGTAACTGTTCAGTTAAACATGGTAGTCATAATGGCAGATGACAGTTTAATCCATATATTAGTCACGGTCTAGGAGGAGTTAACACTTCATTTATAATATAATGACATACAGAAATGGATTGTGATTTATAGCATAGATTATAATGCCTATTGTTTTAACATTTACACAGCATATTTCTAGTCATGGAGTACTGTGAGCAAGACCTCGCCTCCTTGCTGGATAATATGGCAGCCCCTTTTTCAGAGCCACAGGTCAGTTTGATTACAAATTTTATAAGTTTTAACAGCGCAGCCTCAACTTTCACTAAGAACATATGTATGTTCTTCAAAGTGCCTTGCCAGCTGTATTCGGTGATTGTGTCTCTTCACAATCATTTTCTGTGGTGCTAATTATGCTCATACATTCATTACCAGAGATTTGGGTTTTCAGTTCAGGTGTCTGCATATGTGTATGAGCATATGTGTGTGTGGATGTGTGTTCATGCATACAAATGTGTGTCTGTGTATTGTTTGTAGGTCTGACATTGCTGGAATACGTGACACAAATATAATGATAAGAATCATATATGCAATGATCTGTTTTCAAGAATTAGCAGTATGAAAAAGTACCCCAAAAAATATCATGTTTACTGAAACAAGTTTGTGCTTATATGTGAAAACAAAAGCTAGACTATGAGTAATGTAATGGTGAAGACACTGGGGCAATAGAGGATCCGTTTTTAAGACGAATGTTGAACATTTTCTGTGCATAGAAGACAACGATTGGTGAGGTATTGAAAGCTGCAAGTGTTTAATGAGATCAGTCATAAAAACCATGAGGAAAAGACTGTTGAAATGTTAGGGATATGTCAGTGGAAATGATGGAATATACAAATAACCATGACAAAGAGAATACTAGGAAAGAGGCAGAGGAAGATTGACAAATATGTGTGAGGAAAGCTGAACCTTTTGGCCCTGAAATGCTGCCAGTCTAGTAAAGCTGTTTATTACAAATACCTTTTAAAGCTGAAAAACCAGCATTGCTCATCCCTGACGGTTCTAGTTAATGGCATTTGTTCTTTTTGCCCCTGTGCAATGTTTAGGGAACAGTTAGAAGTCTGCTTTTTTCTGTTGAGGGCAAAAATTAAATCAATACATATCATAAAGTGCCCACATCACGCCCCGCGCAAGATTTCTTGCTGATTCCAATTCATGCCGTGGCTTGTTCCCATAGGCTGCTGTGTGCTCTAGGGTGTTAGCATTGTGGGTTCCTTCGATACACACCGTGCGCAAAACCAGTTGCTGTTCGTCCGAGGCCTAACATGGCAAAGGTCTGCAGCTATCCCACTCATGGCAGATGACATTGAGTGAAATGTGTCTTTTTGTGTGTGTGTGTGTGTGTGTTTTTGCATGTGACTGTTCAGCTAGAGAGCAGCTGGCACTGGTTTGAGAATTGGTGAAATTTTGTTGCGGGCCCTGAAAAGACCCATCTTGTGGGGGGGGGGGGGGGTTCTAAAAAGAAATTATTCTTGAAGTTCAGGTCACCATGTAAGGTCGCAGTGGCAGTGATGAAGGGCCAGGGCACAACACTGTAACACACACAGTTCCGACCTACAGCTCACTAAGTGGAAAACAGTATGTGCTGGCCGCAGAAAGCATGTAATATAGACTGCTTATAGCATTGAAAATAGCTAAACACGAATGAAAATAACATGACACCACTATGAGATAGTACAGCCCGTGGCAAATCGTGCGCGGGGCATGATGCGGGCAAGGTTGTAATACGTACCATTAAATCCTCACCTGCACAGTCTGCGATGACAGCAGTAGCCATGTGGCCTTTAAACCTCCGGCTCGAAGATCCACTGCCTACACATCAAAAGTGGTAAATATGGACAGTAATGGCAGTGTTTCGGAGGTCTGGGTATGATTATTCTTCTTTTTTTGTTCTTCTACCTTTCTATACCCCAATGGAGCATAGGCCCTCAAGCAACTCGCGCCAAATCGTTCTATCTTTCCCCATTACCTGGAGCTCTCCCCATGTCCTCCCCATATTGATAACTTCATTCTCCAGCTCTCTTCTCCATGTTTTTTTTTTAACGCCCTTCTTTATTCCTATGCCGCTGTGGATTCCAATGCAAAGACATTCTAGTTATTCTGTTCTCATGTTTTCTCAATGTGGGTATGATTATGCTAACTAAAAATAGCATTGGAGATAGATGTGTATTGTGAAAAAGGCTTTTTAAAAGACAAGATGGCGTCATAAATCTTCTTACTTAACCTTTAGTAGTTGCATAGCAGCAAAGTCATGGGGTCACGTTTTGAGTCACTGTTGACATTTTTTTATGCACAAGGGGAATGTAGTCGTTATATTCTTCGATCTGTTCATATTTCTTGATTGTTCCACTTTATAAATTTCTTTAAAAAAAATGTGAATAATGTTTTTCCTTATGTAGGTGAAATTAACATTAAAATATCAGATGACAGAGATGATTGTAAAGTCATGATCACTGGTGTCTGCTTTAGACCTAAAACACCATTTCTCATTTGTCTGTCTGACTGTCTGTTACTCTCTCTCTCTCTCTCTCTCTCTCTCTCTCTCTCTCTCTCTCTCTCTCTCTCTCTCTCTCTCTCTCTCTCTCTCTCTCTCTCTCTCTCTCTCTCTCTCTCTCTCTCTCTCTCTCTCTCTCTCTCTCTTTCTTTCTTTCTCTAGCTCTCTCTCCTTTCCTCCTATTTCTTACTAATTCTCTACATTACATTATATACTCCCTGCTTTCCTAATCTCTCGCCTTGTCTATCTCTTTCTGCCTGCCGTTTCTTTCTATATGATTCTGTTTCTGTTCCCCCTACCCCTTTTCCTCCTAAAATCTCATAGATTCTTTGTTACTCTCTTCTCCCTGTCTCTCACACTCTTTCTCTTCAGCCTGTATTTTTATTGTCTAAGATCATACTTGAGTTTACAAATAATGCCCCTACTATTCCATTATTTTGCATCTGTGTAGCTGTTAATTTTTTTTTTCCAATAGTTATTTGTAAGAAATCTGTTGTGCTTTGATGATCTTTCAGGTGAAATGTATTATGCTGCAGTTGTTTGCTGGGCTGCAGTACCTTCATGAGAACTTCATCATTCACAGGTATGTTGTAGATACCCTTATTGCCGTATTTCTGGATAGACACTGTGTTGTCGGTTTCTGTGTTTTCAAGGACATGATGGGTCCTGGGATTTGTACTTCTCTACAAAATTAGGATATGTAATATTGTATTTTTTCCTATGTGGGGTTTCAAGGCACTTTTTCAGAGAACAAAGAAAAACTAATTGCCCCCCCCCCCTCCCCACCCCAACAAACATATCATAGGAGGTGGCTAATTAGGCGTGTTTCCTTCAAAGTCAACCAGAACGTTCTACCAGAGTTTACAGAATAAACTGAGTTGTTATGAGACCCACATAATAAATGTAATTGGTTCAGGGACCCACATACTAAATGTAATTGGTTCAGGGACCCACATAAAAAATGTAAGTGCTTCAGGGACCCACATAACAAATGTTAAGTGCTTCAGGGACCCACATAACAAATGTAAGTGCTTCAGGGACCCACATACTAAATGTAATTGGTTCAGGGACCCACATAAAAAATGTAAGTGCTTCAGGGACCCACATAACAAATGTTAAGTGCTTCAGGGATCCACATAACAAATGTAATTGCTTCAGGGACCCACATACTAAATTTAATTGGTTCAGGGACCCACATAAAAAATGTAATTGGTTCAGGGACCCACATACTAAATGTAATTGGTTCAGGAACCCACATACTAAATGTAATTGGTTCAGGAACCCACATACTAAATGTAATTGGTTCAGGGACCCACATACTAAATGTAATTGGTTCAGGGACCCACATACTAAATGTAATTGGTTCAGGGACCCACATACTAAATGTAATTGGTTCAGGGACCCACATACTAAATGTAATTGGTTCAGGGACCCACATACTAAATGTAATTGGTTCAGGGACCCACATAAAAAATGTAAGTGCTTCAGGCACCCACATACTAAATGTAAGTGCTTCAGGGACCCACATAAAAAATTTAATTGGTTCAGGGACCCACATAAAAAATTTAATAGGTTCAAGGACCCATATAATAAATGTAATTGCTTCAGGAACCCACATAACAAATGTAAGTGCTTCAGAGTCCCACATACAAAATATAATTGGTTCAGGGACCCACATAATAAATGTAATTGGTTCAGTGACCCACATAATAAATGTAATGGCTTCAGTGACCCACATAATAAATGTAGTGGCTTCAGGAACCCACATAATAAATGTAATTGGTTCAGTGACCCACATAATAAATGTAATTGGTTCAGTGACCCACATAATAATTGTAATTGGTTCAGTGACCCACATAATAAATGTAATGGCTTCAGGGACCCACATAATAAATGTAATGGCTTCAGGGACCCACATAATAAATGTAATTGGTTCAGGGACCCACATAATAAATGTAATTGTTTCAGGGACCCACATAATAAATGTTATTGTTTCACGGACCCACATAATAAATGTTATTGTTTCACGGACCCACATAATAAATGTAATTGCTTCAGGGACCCACATAATAAATGTAATTGTTCCAGGGACCCACATAACAAATGTAATTGGTCCAGGGACCCACATAATAAATGTAATTGGTTCATGAGAACCAGCTTTTTAAAACAAAAAAAAAGTGTACAGGCCAGTTCATGGTTTTAAAACAAAATAGAATCTTCTAACTGCTGGGGATTGAACTCATGCCACTTTCTTGATAAACGTCTGCATTGACCACTATGACTGTGACCTAAAAACACAGTTATTTGATTGACTTCACTTTAAATCCAGTATCCTATTTTTTTCTGCAGAGATCTAAAGGTGTCCAATCTGTTAATGACAGATAAAGGCTGTGTGAAAATAGGTAACATTTTCATCTTAGTTTATGATTTTATATAATATTGTGTTGGTCAAGACCTGTATACACCTCTTTGTGGTCATCCTAGAAACAGGTTTCCTACCCAGGGGTCTAGGTCTTGTAGATAGGATCGAGATTTCCTTCAGTGTCAGAATGCATCTACCTGAGAGTCATAGAACACTTAATCTACACAGAACTAAGCCAGATCTCTGCAATGGATGTGCATGCAAAACTTTAGTCCTGGAACAAGACTAAAGGCCAGAAGAGGATGAACAACCAAGACTTTTTGCTGGAGTTTACAGCCGGTGAATCTAAAGGAAAAGATTATTATTTTGTGATGATCAGTAATGATGCCAGTCTGGTCAAGACCTATATACACCTCTTCACGGTCATCCTGTAGATAGAGTCTCTACCAGGGGCTTGGCCAGTGTTTGTAGGATCAAGATTTCCTTCAGTGTCTGAATGCATCTACCTGAGAGGCACGGAACCCTTATTCTAAGTTTGACTGACTTTTTACCCCACTAGGATATCATCACACTGAGTGATAAACACCCAGTGACACAAAGTGCCACCATTCGGATGAGGATCACCCGTAGAGAAGTCCTAAAAACTCTGTTCAACTGTTAGGTTATATTAGGGCCCCTGGCAAAAACCAGGATGGGGCTTCAAAATAACGAAAAATTCGTCCCGCATGGGGGAACGGGGAATTTCAAGTGTACTCCTTAATCTGTGGTGAACTAAGCTAGATCTGTAAAATGGATGTGCAGGCAAAACTCAGGTCCTGGAACGAGACCAAAGTCCAAAAGAGGACGAACAACCAGAATTTTCCGCTGGTGTTTAGAACTGACGATCATTGATGATGTTATGTATTTGCACTTGTGCCATTAAATTATCTTTAGAATCATTCCTTTGTGGCTGTTAGCAGACACAGTATGACTCATGTGGCTGAGTCGGTTTCTTGGGTGTTTTCTGTTAACAGCAGGCAGTATTGTGTTGCATGAAGTAGAATGCATACAGGATGGTCAGTTATAAATAAAATAACTGTAGAGGGCCATTGTCCATGCCATGAAGCATGCTCGGTTAGTAGTCTTAGCATTGTATTTGTTAAGATACATCAGCGCTCACTGAATAGTGGTGGTCAGTTTCACAGCAGCTGTCTTTATTTCCCTGAATATTTCCTAGTACCTATTGCAAACTAAGTCTCCAGGTAATGCCGGTGTGTTGGAACATGAGCAGGCAGATAGACTGGTCAGCTCTGCTCCACTAGTGGTGAATTTATGTGTGACAAGCTGGATATTGTGAGGACCCTTTGGGAACGAGTGAACAGTGCGGATGCACAGACAAACCATTAGAGTCTGACTAGAATGGTGTTGCAAGGAGTTACCAGGGGATCTGGACGAGACTTAACACTCAGGGAAAGGATGAGATGGATATACAATCAGGCGGTTACTTTTACCATTAGAATTGGAACTCTTCACATACTGATGAGCATTGGGATGGAGCACTTATGGGAGTGTCCTGAGTGCTGTGATATGGATTCTTTATTCAACATTTAACTAAGTCGACCTAGGAATCCAGGGCAGTGGGATTTTTTAAAACCCTTGTTTTAAATTAATACAAGTTTCCCTGTGTGTATTCTAGGGCCCCATTGTGGGGGAGGAAGCATTATCCTACTGCCCCCTATTATACATGTTGTAAAGGTCGGCTGGTTAGGGGTATTTCTTTTGAAGTCTTGAGTGCATCCACCTGAGAGGGGAAGAACCAACAGTCTGCAGAACGGATGTGCATGCTAAACAGGTTCTGGAACATGACTAAAGTCTAGAACGAGAACTTTCTGCCAGAGTTTACATGAAGAAGAAGAACAATTTTCAGTGTGAAAAACATCTAGAGAGAAAAAGAACACTTTAAAAGTGTGAAATATGATGTATAATAAATGCTATGGCATATAAACCTTGACAGTGAACAAGAAATTAGAAAATTTAAATGAAATCCAGAGATGTAGCAATACAAAACAACGTGTCCTATTTAATCAAATTTAATAATAATTTAAAAAAAATAATAAAAAAACACCCACGCACATACACACGCACACACACACACACACACACACATTCATTTATCCTAATTTGGTGTAAGCCTTGTATAGTATGGTGTCACAAGGCATTCTCTCTAAAAGGACAAACTATTTTTTTTGTTATCTTTCTGGGTAAGTTAGTAGTGATTCTATGCAGACTTTTTCTTTTATGACTTTATTTCTGACTCTTTGTGGTCAATCCTGCAGGCTTTCTCGGACATATCAGTTCCATGTTTTTCTGTTTTGGTTTGTTGTGAAGGACATTATCTTGCACTGGCAGCGTAGGGTGAAAATGAGTTTACTTTGTATGTTTGTGATGATTTATCTGTAAATGAGTTTATATAAGGAATAATTCATCCCCTTTTTCTGTCTTCAACAGCTGATTTTGGCCTGGCTAGGAGATATGAGATCCCATCTCGTCCTATGACCCCAACAGTTGTAACGCTTTGGTAATGTCAAAAAAGTGTATTTTTGCTTTCCACTGTCCATGAAACAAATATATTTAATTCTTCTTCTTCTTATTCTTCTTCTTCTTAGCGTTCACCAGCTGTAAACTCCAATGGAAAGTCTTGGTTTTTCATCCACTTCCGGACTTTAGCTGTGTTTCAGAATTGAAGTTTTGCGAGCACATCATTTTGCAGATCTGGCTTATTTACATGAAAATGGTGGATTCCTTCTTTTCAGGCAGAAGCAGTCTGACTTTGAAGGAAACATTGATCATATCTGCATTGGCCAAGCCCCCAATTGAGGACCTCAGTCTGACTTTGAAGGACTCGTTGATCATATCTAGACTGGCCAAGACACAAGCTGAGAACGTATTTCTAGAATGACTGCATAAAGGTGTAGATAGGTACCACCACATGAGATTCATGGACCTATGAACTATCCAGTATCGCCCCGGGACTACTCTAGGTTCTGCAATTTCACCAGTGCTCTTCGATGTTTATACAAGCAAGATTGCAGAATTTGAAACACCAGGTGTTGGAAGGATATTGAAATGAGAGTCTTGCATATAGGGAGGAATGCGATAAGAAACAGACAGCCCAAGAGCTACAGGCAACTGTAGACAAAGTGACTGACTGGTGTGCAGAGATGAGTGCTGTCCTTAACTCAAAAAAGGCGGTTGTTTTATGGTGCTCTCTGGACAATAGAATTGTAAGATCGAATGTTTCAAGCCTCACATTTAATGACAGAAACATCAAAAGAGAAAGCAAGCTTAGGTACCTGGGTATAATTTTCGATGGAAGCCTGTCCTTCAAGGACCATGTGGAGACAGATGTGGTAAAATGCCAAAAAAAGACTCGGTGCTGACAAGATTATGGCAGCAATGGAGATGGAACAAAGGATGTTGCTTACAGTGTTCCAGCGTGTGATCCTGTTGGTGATAGATAATGGACTTGGAATACTTGCCATATCAATGAGTCAACTGATGAAACTTGAACGCATACAGAATGAAGCCATGCGAGTAGTTCTGGGATGTACAAAAGATACTCCTGTAGTATGTATGCAATATATACTTGCACTGCCTACTGTTGCAGATAGGCTCAAAGTTCTGCAAGCAAAGTCATATTTCAGAGTAGATGATGGCAAGAGGCACCTCCTGCATGAAGCCCTAGCTAGAGCTTAGGGTCACAAACTGAAAAGAGGAAGGTCTTGGATGGTGTGAGCTGAAGACAAAATTAGACCTGTGAAGGTTTGATAATTTGGGCGAAGAGAGTAGTGGTTCAAAATGTCCGAGCAAGAATCAAACTTGTAAAGGGTTCTAATCACTTTAGGTCTTGAGTGCAGGGACTGGCCAGCTGGTGCTTCAGAATCAAACTTGTAGAGAGTTCTAATCACTTTAGGTCTTGAGTGCAGGGACTGGCCAGCTGGGGCTTCAGAGTCAGACTTGTAGAGAGTTCTAATCACTTTAGGTCTTGAGTGCAGGGACTGGCCAGCTGGTGCTTCAGAATCAAACTTGTATAGAGTTCTAATCACTTTAGGTCTTGAGTGCAGGGACTGGCCAGCTGGTGCTTCAGAGTCAGACTTGTAGAGAGTTCTAATCACTTTAGGTCTTGAGTGCAGGGACTGGCCAGCTGGGGCTTCAGAGTCAGACTTGTAGAGAGTTCTAATCACTTTAGGTCTTGAGTGCAGGGACTGGCCAGCTGGTGCTTCAGAATCAAACTTGTATAGAGTTCTAATCACTTTAGGTCTTGAGTGCAGGGACTGGCCAGCTGGTGCTTCAGAGTCAGACTTGTAGAGAGTTCTAATCACTTTAGGTCTTGAGTGCAGGGACTGGCCAGCTGGTGCTTCAGAATCAGAAGTGCAATAAATGATTCATGACAGTTCCCTCGATTATGTGATTATCTATACAGATGGCTCTGTGTTGAGAAGTGAACGAAGTGCATGGGGGTTCAAAAGCGAATGGAAGTCACTTAGTGCAACAAAGCCTGGTATATGACACCAGACTATCTAGTTTGAGAATGGAGGTGGAGGCAGTCACTGCTGTCCTCAGCTGGATTGAGAATCAGCTGTACACACATGTCGTAATTGTAAATGACTCACAGATTATGTAGAGAAAGGTGGAGACAGGCATGCTTCTTGCAGAGTGGCAAGCATCGCTTCAGAGGTCCCTGGTTGTTAAGAGTCCTTTGGATATTTTCTCCAGGCAATGATGGTGTGTTGGGAAATGAGCAGGGAGATGGACCAGCTGGTTTTACAACACTTGGTGGTAAATTGATGTGTGACAAGCTGTATGTTGTGAGGGCCCTTTGGGAGCGAGTGGGCATTGTGGAGGAACAAGTAGATCATTACGGTCTGAGAAGAGTGATGCTGTCGAGAGTTACTGGAGGATCTGGCTGGTGCTCAGTGCTCACAGGAAAGTCAAGACGGATATACAATCAGACAGTTACTGATACCATCGGAATTGAAACTCTTCACTTGCAGCTGAAGATGGTGACAGAGTGCTTATGGGAGTGTGTCCCGAATGCTATGATTTCAATTCATAATGCAACATTCAGTCTTGCCAGTTCTTACTAGGTTCTGATATTAACATAAATAACCAAGAAATTATTTTGATTACCAGAAAGTTATATAAATGAAATAATTAAGAAAGTTCATGTTGTAATTTCAGTTCAGGCTTCATATTCATCAGTGTGCCTCAGATGTTTCATTAATCCCTGACGTATGTTTCATTAATCCCTGCGGTATGTTTCATTAACCCCTGACATATGTTTCATTATTCCCTGACATGTTTTAATCTATACAGGTACAGAGCACCAGAACTGTTGTTTGGCTCCAAGACACATACAACAGCCATTGATATCTGGTTAGTCACTTGTTACTTGGTGTGATTACCTAACTCAGTATGCCTGGGCTATTCAACTAAGTTTACTCAAGGGCCACAATTCTGAAAATGGGGGTCGTCATGGGCCACATGGCTAAGAAAAATCATTAATACAGTATACCTAGCAATAATCCGAGCCACTTGCTAGACCTCCGCGGGCCAAATCTGGCCAGCCGGCCGCCAGTTAAGTAGTCCTGCAGTATGCATTAACTTGAGCTGAAACAGCCACATTTGATGGCTTGTTAATTTGTTATTTTAGAATGCTTGACAGCTTTTGTTTCTTTAGAGTGCTTGACAGCTTTTGTTTCTTTAGAGTGCTTGACAATCTTTTCATGGCAGGGAGGATTGTCATCATATGAACTGATACAGGCTGTTGGAGGTAGCAGGTTGTGGAGAGGCCTGATCGTCCATGCCAGTTGACAAGGCACTTAATTAAGATGTAGGGTGCCTCACTATAACTGTTGTGCAGTTGAACAGAATCTCTGGTATTCGCCCCTGTTCGATTCTGTGCAAATAGTGACTTTTTGTGCCAGTGGGGGTGTCAGTCTTCAAGCTGCAGTCTCAGAGGAAGATAAAAAAAATTATTGTGCCATTGCAGTCTACAACTCCCTCAGCTCTAGGCTAACAGTGAGGAGACACAGATAGATCATTACTGTCGGGAGGAATGGCGCTGCAAGTAGTTACAAGGGGATCTAGCCAGCGCTCAATACTTAGGGGAAAGGCGAGACGGATATACAATCAGACAGTTACTGGTGCCATCGGAATTGAAACTCTTTGCTTGCTGCTGAAGATGGGGACGAAGCGCTTATGGGGTTGTCCTGAGAAGTTAGAAGTAGCTGCATTTTCTACTAGTGCAGTTAACTTAGACCTTACCTCGTGAAAAAGTTCCTTAATTACTTCAGCTATCTCATGCTTTTGATAGATTTTATACATATATGCACTCGCGTATATATTTATATTTACAGAGGGAGATTGAGTCAGAAATATATTAAATATTTCATTTTTTAAAAATTTAATTGCACGTCTAATCACATGACAGTATTTTTCTTCTTCTTCAGCGTACTGAGCCCTTGAGGTTCATTGCTGCAGATATCACACGCCTCCACTCATCTCTCTGGTTGGCCTTCTCTTTCCATTTGGTGACACCAAGTGTTTGCAGGTCTGTCTGGATATTATCTCTCCATCGTCTTCTTGGGCTGCCTCGTGGTCTGTGACTATTCATCTTCCTCATGTATACAGTTTTTACTTCTCTGTCATCTGACATTCTTTCAATATGCCCCAACTATTTCAGTCTATTAGCTCTCTTGATGCCAGTGATCAGTGGTGATTTAAACAGATTATGAATTTCGATGTCAGGTAGAATGAAGAAAAGAACTATGATGTATGAAGAATTAACCCATAAACACTTGGATGGTTGTTAAATGTAGAAAAAGTTAATATAGATTTATTTTAAGTAGTAAAGTTTATACACTTTTTTGACAGGTCAGCAGGTTGCATTCTGGGAGAACTACTGGCACACCGTCCCTTGTTGCCGGGGCGATCAGAGCTTCATCAGATAGACCTGATCTTGGATATGCTGGGAACACCCAATGACACAATATGGCCAGTGAGTTGTTCTTGTTCATAACAGTTAGATAGTAGAAGATTGAGCAGTACTTCAGAGGTCCCAAGTAATTGGCATCTTTTGGATATTTTCTTCACAATATTCGGGTATGTTGGGAAATGACAGGCAGATAGACTGGCCGGTTCTGCACCACCTGGTGGTGAACTGATGAATGTCAAGCTGGATGTTGTGAGGGCTTTTTGGGAGCAATTAAACAATGCGAAGGCACAGATAGATCATGACGGTCTGGGGAGAATGCCGCTGCGAGGAATTACAAGGGGATCTGGTCGGCGCTCAACACTAGTGGAAAGGCGAGACAAATATACAATCAGTTACTGGTGCCATCGGGATTGGAAATCTTTGCTTGCTGCTGAAGATAGGGACGTAGTGCTGTGATATCAATTCGCAATTCAACATTTAGATTGACCAGTAAAAGGTTCAGAAAGCTAGCCTTAGTTTGTTGTTGTTGCTGTGATTGGAAAAAGTTGCAGCTGAAGTCTATAATAAGAACTGTGGCTTTTAGAAATTCCAATTGGAACTACAAGTAAAAGACCCTTTTCCACGCCTTTAGACACATTGGGTATGTAGGGCTAGACCTATATTTTATAGACCAAATGGCACTTGATGGGTGATGTGGTCAGCATCACGCTAGCCGCCTTTATTTCCAAGAACTGCACCTGGTACGCACTCAGGGCTGGGTTGACCTGGGAGCCAAGGTCATTTTTAAAAAAAAATCCTGCCGTTTTCAGGACGTGAACCCACGACCTTCCGATCTGCATAACTGGAATGACAAGAAGGCTTTAAATGAAAACCATAAAAGTCTGATAGAAATTATTAAAGTCATCATACCATTGTGACAGACTGTTTATGACTGGGACAGGCATACCGCGTCTGTTTGGGACAGAAGTCAGGCCGTTTTGACACTTCCTGCTCCACTCATACACTTGCTGGACTGACAGGCATGAATGCATCAGCTGGACCTTTATTCACCAATGAATTTCTGTAGGTTTTGCCCTTTCCTGAATTTCTGTAGGTTTTACCCTTTCCTGAATTTCTGTAGGTTTTACCCTTTCATGAATTTCTGTAGGTTTTACCCTTTCATGAATTTCTGTAGGTTTTACCCTTTCCTGAATTTCTGTAGGTTTTACCCTTTCCTGAATTTCTGTAGGTTTTACCCTTTCCTGAATTTCTGTAGGTTTTACCCTTTCCTGAATTTCTGTAGGTTTTACCCTTTCCTGAATTTCTGTAGGTTTTACCCTTTCCTGAATTTCTGTAGGTTTTACCCTTTCCTAAATTTCTGTCGGTTTTACCCTTTCCTTGATTGAAAAAAAAGGGGATATCAGATAGTGCATGCCGGAGGTGGGATGGTCATCTTTAAAACTGTCATTACGACATCATGGTGTTCATCTGCACCAAGATGTTGCATGCTTAACACACTTGCCATCCTTAATTAATAATAATTATTGTACGTACTGTGAAAAATGCATAACATGTACTATATTGTGTAAATTATGGGAATTTGTTTACCCTACCAGTGTATTAATCTCTCTTTATATACTATTTTTATGTATTTTTTTCATAGCCATAAGTGAGGATCGCCGTTAAATCACATAGGTCGTAAGTGAGGATCCCCGTTAAATCACATAGGTTGTAAGTGAGGATCGCCGTTAAATCACATAGGCCATAAGTGAGGATCGCCGTTAAATCACATAGGTCGTAAGCGAGGACCGCCGTTAAATCACATAGGTCGTAAGCGAGGATCCCCGTTAAATCACATAGGTCGTAAGTGAGGATCGCCGTTAAATCACATAGGTCGTAAGTGAGGATCCCCGTTAAATCACATAGGTCATAAGTGAGGATCGCCGTTAAATCACATAGGTCGTAAGTGAGGATCGCCATTAAATCACATAGGTCGTAAGTGAGGATCGCCGTTAAATCACATAGGTCGTAAGTGAGGATCGCCGTTAAATCACATAGGTCGTAAGTGAGGATCGCCGTTAAATTACATAGGTCGTAAGTGAGGATCGCCGTTAAATCACATAGGTTGTAAGTGAGGATCGCCGTTAAATCACATAGGTCATAAGTGAGGATCGCCGTTAAATCACATAGGTCGTAAGTGAGGATCGCCGTTAAATCACATAGGTCGTAAGTGAGGATCGCCGTTAAATCACATAGGTCGTAAGTGAGGATCGCCGTTAAATCACATAGGTTGTAAGTGAGGATCGCCGTTAAATCACATAGGCCATAAGTGAGGATCGCTGTTAAATCACATAGGTCGTAAGTGAGGATCGCCGTTAAATCACATAGGTCATAAGTGAGGATCGCCGTTAAATCACATAGGTCATAAGTGAGGATCGCCGTTAAATCACATAGGTCGTAAGTGAGGATCGCCGTTAAATCACATAGGTCATAAGTGAGGATCCCCGTTAAATCACATAGGTCATAAGTGAGGATCGCCGTTAAATCACATAGGTCGTAAGTGAGGATCGCCGTTAAATCACATAGGTCGTAAGTGAGGATCGCCGTTAAATCACATAGGTTGTAAGTGAGGATCGCCGTTAAATCACATAGGTCATAAGTGAGGATCGCCGTTAAATCACATAGGTCGTAAGTGAGGATCGCCGTTAAATCACATAGGTCGTAAGTGAGGATCCCCGTTAAATCACATAGGTCGTAAGTGAGGATCCCCGTTAAATCACATAGGTTGTAAGTGAGGATCCCCGTTAAATCACATAGGCCATAAGTGAGGATCGCCGTTAAATCACATATGTCGTAAGTGAGGATCGCCGTTAAATCACATAGGTCGTAAGTGAGGATCGCCGTTAAATCACATAGGTCGTAAGTGAGGATCGCAGTTAAATCACATAGGTCATAAGAAGGAGGAGGTGCATTTCAGTTTCTGAAACATGATACTCTTTCTCCGATATTCAGATCTTTTAGAATATCACTATTTTTCTTTGTAAATCGATTTGTTTCTCTCTCGTTTTTTTTTTTTTTTTTTTAATAAACTTATTTAAAATAATAGTAATATTTCAGTATTAGAAACATCTCAAGCAATGAAATATTTATAGTATATGTTCAAGAGGGAAATGCAAAGCTGTTCTGAAAGCTGAAGTCAAATGTTTAGGTGCATAAAGTGCCCATGTAGCATGTAACCTGGATGCAGACAGCCAGAGTTCTTCTTAATGGGAACGGGGAGGAAGGAGAAGATTGGTACACTTTATTTCCTGTTCCTTTAGGAAGGAGAAGATTGGTACACTTTATTTCCTGTTCCTCTACAACATATTGTAATATAATTTGCAGGGATTTTCCAGCCTCCCAGCATTAGAGAACTTCACTCTCAGAAAACAGCCGTAAGTTCAGAAACAGTATAGATTATTAAAGCTACTGGTATTTTGTGTTTGTATGTGGAATGTAATTGTTATGCTATGCTTATAAATTCTCTTCTGTAATCTGGTAATCTTAGTTTCAGCTTTGTAGCAAACGAGTCTCCCCATAGTTGCTTCGCTCCTGTGCCAATGAAAAACACACAGAATGTTTATCACAATCCCTTGTGGAAAGATTGGCAGACTGCTGTCTCAGCATATGCACTAGCAAACACACACATTGAAAACATACGATAGCCATCTGAAATGCTAACACAAACAGTCCGACATAAGAAATGCAGTTCATGGATGGTAACAGAAGTCACCAACAAATCAGCAGTTGTACACGCGATCAATTTTAATCACATAGTGACACCACCACCTTGGTGACAGTAGAAAAACATTCCAAATGAAATCCGCAGCTCACAGTGTCACGCCATGCACTCAACTCAGAAGCTGGGCAATGAAACTATCCTTTCAGTCTACAAATGGAGCAAAAATGCACCAGCCACCATCTAACAGAAGCAAAAGAAATATGCCACGGCTTACAACAGTGACCGTGCCTTGCGTCCATTTTGACCGGAAGTCCCTTCTGTAGTTTAGTTGATGGTTGGTTGGCTAGATGGTTTTAACCATATGCATTGGCACCACGTCAAGTGGCTAAGTGATTGGTTTCATTTAGCAGATCTCATAGTTTGGTTCCTGGGTGTTTTTTTTTTTTTTTTTTTATAGAGATCTTTGAGGATCGTCTCGGAAGCTGGGCGGTAGAGTTGAACTTTCATGCAGTGCTCTCGGCAGGCAGTGCTCTCAGCAGGCAGTGCTCTCAGCAGGCAGTGCTCTTGGCAGGGAGTGCTCTCAGCAGGCAGTGTTCTCAGCAGGCAGTGCTCTTGGCAGGGAGTGCTCTCAGCAGGCAGTGCTCTCAGCAGGCAGTGCTCTTGGCAGGGAGTGCTCTCAGCAGGCAGTGCTCTCAGCAGGCAGTGCTCTTGCCAGGCAGCTTGCCATTCTATGGAGAGAAGAAATTGAGCTATTTGGAATTAAATCTAGTGCAACTGTGTATTTAACCCACAGACTACCAAGCCTCTCAACGCTTGCACTTTCACACATACCTAATATTTTAGCATGTACTAAAAATGCCACAGCTTCACAACTGTTTAACATAAAGTTTTAGTATTTTGAATTTTTCACCAGATTGAATGGAGAAAAACATTTCAAGAACAAAAACTGCTTAATCTTGTTTGACGTCATTATCAAATGAATGTAGTTTGGTGCAAAAAGGCAATTTTAAAATCTTTTTTGTTTTGTTTTTTGACAGCAATATAGGCTAATAAAAATTCCATAGCTTCACAACTGTTTAACACTAACTGATAGTATTTAACATTTTTGCACCAAATTGAAAGAATTTTTGACAATTTACAAAAAAATTTAAAAATCATGTTATCTTGTACAGAATCATCATGTGGCTATAGATTGGAGGGAAAAAAGGTTAGCTGAACAATCTTTTTGTTTTTCTTCCTGACAGCAATATAGACGTAACAGTAATTACATTTCTTCACATCAATTGAACATAAACTCATAATAATTTGCAGTTTTGCACCAAACTGAATGGAGAAGAAACATTCCAAGAACAAAAACAATCTTATTGTACATCATCATCTTGTGGCTGTTGTTTTTATTCATTCATCACAAGTGTTGAGGACCGCTCTTTCTTTCATCTGCCATGAAACTGTAGTTGAGTTCTGGGAGTCTGGAGGTGACTTATACACCCAGTATGGGCCTGGAAGGGTCTAGGACAGTGAGGGCAGGGAGCAATGCCTGAAGGTGAAGAACCTGAAATAGGGGTGTTTTTTCTAGCCTGCCTGTGCTGGGCATCTGTACATTAGTGCAAAAGAAGGCAACCGAAGAATTTGACAACAAAACAACTATTTTTTTCCCCTGAAATAATCTTGGATGAGAGCTCTGCCTAACTGTGAAATACATTGTCTTCATGACTCTCATCATCATCAACATCATCATCATCAACATCATCAAGTGCCTTGCTGACTAGCATGGGTGATCATGCCTCTCCACAATCTGCAACTGAGTTGTTCATGACCCTGGTAACATCATGATGTAATTGTTTGACACTGATTTTGCCTGTCATAATGTAATTATTAAACAACGACTTTGCCTGTATTTCAGATACAATAACTTACGCCACACATTTCCCTGGCTTAGTGAAGCTGGGATCAGACTACTGTACATCCTCTTTATGTATGATCCAGCCAAAAGGTAAAATATCCGTCAAATAATTGAAGTCTGGATGCAAAGAAAAACAGTTCACTCATGGTGAGGTAGTGCTTAATGCACTGTCCTGGATACCATTGTGCACTTTGGTTCAGTCCCTGATAGAGTGTGAGGTAGTGCTTTATGCACTGTCCTAGACACCATTGTGCACTTCAGTTCAGTCCCTGATAGTGGCCGAGGTAGTGCTTAATGCACTGTCCTGGATACCATTGTGCACTTCGGTTCAGTCCCTAATTGTGGCCAAGGTAGTGCTTAATGCACTGTCCTGGATACCATTGTGCACTTCGGTTAAGTCCCTAATAGTGGCCAAGGTAGTGCTAAATGCACTGTCCTGGATACCATTGTGCACTTCGGTTCAGTCCCGGATAGTGGCTGAGGTAGGGCTTAATGCGCTGTCCTGGATACCATTGTGCACTTCGGTTCAATCCCCGAAAGTGGCCAAGGTAGTGCTTAATGCACTGTCCTGGATACCATTGTGCACTTTGGTTCAGTCCCTAATAGTGGCCAAGGTAGTGCTTAATGCACTGTCCTGGATACCATTGTGCACTTCAGTTCAGTCCCCGATAGTGGCTGAGGTAGTGCTTAATGCACTGTCCTGGATACCATTGTGCACTTCGGTTCAGTCCCTGATAGTGGCTGAGGTAGTGCTTAATGCACTGTCTTGGATACTATTGTATACTATTCCTTTGAATATGAAAAAAAAAAAAACATCAAGGCTGGATAGCTAAATACATGTGAAGAGAATTGTATCAGTGATTATAAAGAGCAACGCTTTGTACCAGCACCTTCATCTGTGACCCAGGATGTGCTGGACTGAAAGGCTACGAGAAGGCAGATGCCCTTTCACGCACTCTTGGAAGTCGACCTTCTATAGTCAGAATAGACAAAAATCAATATTGAACGAGAAACAACATGCATTGAAGTCCTTAAACATGAAAATAATAATTTCTCTCTGACTTAGATACAGAGTCTAGATGTACCAGTTGGAGCAGTGCAACGTAACAAAAATACAAGAGCTGACAGGTGCTACATAAAGTACAGGAGTCATCAGCATAAACACAGTTAAAAAAAAAACATGCTTAGGAGAAGATAAGAGCACTTATATGTGTGTCCAACTGCTATCAGTATGATCTTAGAAGTTAATCATCATCATCAGTTCTCGTTATGCCTAGTGGCACATGAGGTTTCAGAGAGGACTTTCCATGCTTTCCTGTCCTGTGCAATCTTCAGTGCAGTTTTCCATGTCAAAGATGCCGCACTCAGGTTACTTTCCATCGTTCGTCTCCATGTTGTTTTTGGGGGCCCCTATTTTCTCTTTCCCTCTGGTGTCCATGTTAGAGCTGTTTTGGCAGGTATATCAGAAGTCATTCTCATAACGTGGCCAAGCCATTTCCATCTTCTCTTGGTTATCTAACTGTCTAAAGTTTCTTGGTTTGTGGTTAGAAGTAGTTTAGTGTTTGAGATTGTATCTGGCCAGAAAATTTTGATAATTCTACGTAGACATGTGTGGTGGAAGGTGGACAGCTTGTGTGCATCCTTTTTGGTCATTCTCCAGCATTCCACTCCATAAAGAAGAACTGGCAAAATGATGCTCTTGTAGAGTCGGAGTTTTGTTCCTCTGCAGTAATTGTTGGATTTCCAGATTTGCCTCATCCTTCCAAAAGTAGCTTTAGCTTTGTTCAGGCGTTACCGTATGTCTTCCTCTGTCCCTCCCAGTAGGGTTAGAAGTTAATAATATAGTGTAAAACTTGTCATGAAAGTAACGTTTGCTAGATATTTCTGTAGATACTGTTATTGTCATAATAGCAAATACTGCTTCAGCAGTTCATATGCATAGATCCCTGTGTGGGTTGTGGGGAAAACAAGAATAGACCCACAGGTTTCAGAACCTGGCCGTACTGGCATTTTTTTGGTTTAATAATTGACCTTGGCTTCCAGGTCAGCCCTGCAGAGTAATGATCAGAGATGTGACCACAAGAAAATGAGGAATAAATTATGAATACCCATATTTAATAATCCTTAATTTATATTCCATTTTGTTCACTCGGTACACACAGTATATCTTCTCCTTCTTCTTTGCATTCACCGGCTGTGACCTCTGGTGAAAAATTCTGGTTGTTCATTCACTTCAGGGCTGTGGTCTTATTCTAGAACTTGAGTTTTGCATGCACATCCATTTTACAGTTCTGGCTTATTTGTATGCAGACTGTTGATTCTTCACCCTTCTCCAAAAGATGGGCTCAGACATTTATGGAAACACCGCTAATTTGTCACCTTTTTTGACATGCTTGTTATGTAGCAGTGGGTATCCCCCCCCCACACATACACACACACACACACACACACACACACACACACACACACACACACACACACACACACACACACACTCAGTGAGACATTGGACCCACCTGGGAAATAGTAAATCTGAATTGTAGGCAAATGAGCATTACCAGCACAGTTAACGTGAAATTCTATTATTGCAGAGCCACTGCTGAAGATTGTTTGCAGTGTTCATATTTCAAGGAGCAGCCAAGTCGTAAGTACTCAGTACCCATTTATATATTAACTACTAGGCACTGCTAACACCAACATAAATTTAATCACGGAAACAACAGGTTGCTAACGGCAGCTTAAAATTATAAGTGGCTTATCCAAATCTAATCCAGATTTGTGAAATGCCAAATGAAGTTTATTTGTGCTTTGACTGTTGATATGGTGTTGTTTAGTTGTTGACTATGGTAACTAGGGGTTTGTTCACAAAAACATGCTTCCACCTCTTGTGTGACTGCTGGCTCCTGCTTCTTCTTCTTCTTCTTTTTAACATTTACCGGTTCTAAACTTGGCTGAAAAGTTCTGGTTGTTGCATCCACTTTTGGATTTAAGTCCTGTTGCAGAAATTATTCCAAGAGATGTCAGATAAGTTTGGCATTGACAAATACATTAGAAATATACCCATTGGTGTGCAGTCATGATTGGTTGGTTTATGAATTTACTGATGTCCATGTAGGTTCCTGTGTCCCATTTCGAATAAAAAGGAGTGGGGGTGGAGAATGTTGGAAGATTTATTGAACGAACGAACTTTATTTTCAAAGGGTTACAAATTGGGCACTCAGGCCCGTCTGACATTTGACCCTTCTAAGCACTCATCTTTCAAATTACCAATGCCTGTTATCAATAATGCATGTTATGTTTATAATTTAAAAAAAAAAAATTATAGAATAATGCATACACACATCATGTATACAGAATTATACACACTCAAACACACCCACACACACATATACTCTTACATTCTCATACATACACATACTTACTCACATACAGACAAATGCAATACATGCATATACATACATACATGCATACATGCATACATACATACATACATACATACATACATACATACATACATACATACATACATACATACATACATACATACATACATACATACATACATACATACATACATACATACATACATACATACATGCACACACGCACGCACGCATGCATGCACGCACACACACATGCAGGCAGGCAGACTGACAGACAGACAGACATTCACCCACCCACACACTCACTCACCTCTCTCTCTCTCGCACATACTCTCTCACAAACTTTCTCACACACACTGCCACTTAACAAGCATGTCACAAAAGGCAACTATTTTATATATAATAATTTGTACAAATCAGACATGGTGGATCAGAAAGAGCAGGCATCACAGTCTAGCATGATATGCTGCGCCTTTTGCTACTTTCTTCACAGAAGAAGAAGAAAAAGAATTCCCAGGAAGTCGAATGCTTTGACATTTTATCCCTCTAAACCCTGAAAATGGCATGCATATATTCAGATAACGCTCTTTATATGTATAAATGACTGATTGCTCTCTGTGTGAATTCTGATCGTGACTGATTGCTCTCTGTGTTGAGTTCTGTCTTGACTGATTGCTCTCTGTGTGAGTTCTGATCTTGACTGCTTGCTGTCTGTGTTGAGTTCTGTCTTGACTGATTGCTCTCTGTGTGAATTCTGATCGTGACTGATTGCTGTCTGTGTTGAGTTCTGTCTTGACTGATTGCTCTCTGTGTTAATTCTGATCGTGACTGATTGCTCTCTGTGTTGAGTTCTGTCTTGACTGATTGCTCTCTGTGTGAGTTCTGATCTTGACTGCTTGCTGTCTGTGTTGAGTTCTGTCTTGACTGATTGCTCTCTGTGTGAATTCTGATCGTGACTGCTTGCTGTCTGTGTTGAGTTCTGTCTTGACTGATTGCTCTCTGTGTGAGTTCTGATCTTGACTGATTGCTCTCTGTGTGAGTTCTGATCTTGACTGATTGCTCTCTGTGTGAGTTCTGTCTTGACTGATTGCTCTGTGTTTGAGTTCTGATGCCCAGTTTTAGGATAAAACAAAAATATACCTAAAGCATGTCATAAAAGGACACTAGTTAGGGCTTGCAGAAATCTGATGCGTTGAGCTAAAAGGCTCAGATATCGCAGCCTAGCTATAAGCTACATCGCGCTGTGCCAGCTACTCGTTTTTAGGGCAACCTCAAAGAAAAAATAAGACTATCTGTTAGTTGAACATTCACACTGCAGAATGTTGACTAGAATTGTGAGTAAAATGTTTAATTTCTTGCAGCGTGTGATCCTGAGTTCATGCCATCCTTCCCACAACATCGACTGAAGAGGAAACAGATGAAACAAGCGGTGAAAAAGGAAAAAAGGTACTGTTAATACTGAATATCTGTATTTTACCCGTAACAGCCCACGTGACTAATATAATCCAGGTTAGCTAATTATTTTTATTCAGTTTAAATAGGCTACAACAAGTTAGAATAAATAAAAGCCTGAAATAATATACCCACAATAATATTAATAAAATTAGAAAATTTTGTGTTTATAGTTTTTGTTTTGTTTTATAATACAATATATCCTTCTTTTCTCGTTGCAGAAAGTCTGCCGATGAATCATTCAACAGTTTTGGAGACAGCTCTTCAGGAATTCCTCTGTAAGTATCTATTCCTTTTCATCATCATCATGTAGAGTAGCCTTTTGCATAAGGTCACTTACTATCTTTGTGACCAGCAAGAAAGATTCTTGATCCTTTGGCAGACATGAAACTCTTATAAAAAAACCATTCTAGGGGGTAAAACAGTTGAACAAAAACTATACAGTGATACAAGTGGGAAGATAACATCCAAGACAAATAACAAATAGCAAACTGTTATACTTTACAACCAGGGTGAGGGACAGAGTGTTGAAGATCCATTTCAGCCAGCTTTCTTGTGGAGGGATGGGACTTGATTGATTGATCTTGCTGAAGATCAAGTAGCCATTTTAGGGCTGTCTTGACTGTTGATTTTCATTTGATTTGCCAAAGTCTTTGATATGTCCTGCTTCTTTGTAATAAATAGACTCACAGATCATGCCTCAGAAATTAAAACTAGTTTTTTAGAAGGGCTTGCATTGCTTGATAGGACTCTGAGATCAGAGTGTTGAATCTGCTGCTGCCACTCATCTGGATGGTGAGCTACTTCACATTTAGATGACCATGGTGAAGACTCTGGAATGAAGTAGATAATGTAGCAGAACAGCGTATCCCTACCTACTTAGACAGACACAAAAAGGGGTGTGAACAGAGTCTATAAAACACTAAACATTCATCCCCGTGTGGGTTCCAGGGTCCCATACAAGTGGGTCAGATCAGTTAAAAAAAAAGAATGCGCATGCAGCACTCAGATTCTAGAACACAACTAGAGTCCCAAAGTGGATAAACAACCACAACTTTCCACTGGAGTTTTCAGCCAGTGAAACTAGAAACTAAACATTACTAAACTAAACAAAGAAAAGAAAGATGGACGTGCAGTTAGCTTAACACAGGCACGTCAAGTATGGAATCTGTTGGATACTGAATGGATCTGAGCATGTGTTGGAATGTCCGGATTGCAGTTGTGTTAGTTCTTTATTGATGTATATAATATATATATATAATTCATACTTATTTCTGTATACTCCATATATTGATAGTTGTGTTTCACTTCACTTGCTTGTCACTTCACTTCACAGGTTGAAACGCATCAAACAAGACAACAGTTAACTTCAGGAGCCAACACTATTCTGTCTCCCATCTCTCACAAAGACAGTTCAGATGGTGAAGAAATTACAAGGATTTCCATGAACAAGGAAATGCAGATAGTATACTGAAAAACAACATGAAGCACCAAGGAATGACAGAGAAGTTGGTGGATATAACAAATAAGAAATGCTTTAAAAAACAGAAACAACAGTTTCATGATAAACTGTAGTGACTCTTATTTGCTTCTGAGACTGTATCCTGTTAATATTATTATTCTTATCTGAATTCACCACTTAAAAGGCTTTCCTGCGATGTATTATGGTTTAGAGTTGGGCTGTAATGTCTGTGCTTTTCCGCCCAACACATTGGTTTTAGCGAATCCTTAATGTGTCACCTTTTACATGCGTGATAAGGGGCAAGAGTATATTCCCCCTCCACCTCACCCCCCCCCCCCCCAAAAAAAAAAGAAAAATTGAGCCCTGGAGCCCACAGGGGAAGATGGAAACAAATAAGAGATGCATCAATGAAGCAGAAACAGTAGTTTTATGATAAATAGGTTTGATTTTCTTGTAAGGCTGTATCTTGTGGCAGCATTTAATGATGTTTTATCATCTTCCTTGTCAGCTGATACTGTAAATTGTACTGATTTACAACCACCCCCATTTTGATCAAATATTTGTATTATCTTCTTCACGCTCACTGGCTGTAAACACTGGTGGAATGTTCTGGTTGTTCATCCACTTCTGGACTGCAGACCTGTTCCAGAACCTAAGTGTTGCGTGTGCATCCATTTAACAGATCTGACACATTTGTATGCAGACTGCTGGTTCCTTGCCTGTCAAGCAGAGGCACTCTGACTTCGAAGGAAGCTCCAAATTAGTCAACTCTTACGACATGCTTTTCAGTAGGCAGTGGTTCTATTCTTGTTTTCCCTATAATAGAGCCCCAGAACCCACACAGGGAACATATTTGTATTATCTTTAGAACAGCTGTTCACCAGTTTCTATTCTGTGCTTATTTGTATCTACCCATGTCATTTCAGCCCATGTATATCCCCTTGGAGTTCTGCTGGTTTGTTTTGCTGCCCCAGTGTCTTCTTCTCTTATGCATTAAACTCTAAGACATGCTTGGCTGATTACAAAACAGTGTTCAGGAAATAGATAGCTATGTAGAGGCATCTGGTGTGAGCCTTAATGCGTGCTTTATAGATGTTGGCATTCACAACCTCAAATATTCAATCTATCCATTGCTTGCAGGGGCAGCCCCTTGATTTGTTTTGTGTGTGTGTGTCTAAGGACAGGACTCTATGGTTCACTGTTCTGTGACAGTCTTGTTGCATGTCCAAACCATTTGATCTGCTGTCTGATGATGTAGTTCAGCACTGGTTCTGTACTCACTTGTTTCCTAGCCTTTCTCTTCTTGTTACATTTCGGATTTGTCGTAGACATTTCATTTTTGTTGTTTTGATTGTTCTTTTTCCTTTTGCTCTTAATGTCCATGTTTAATACTGTTAACAAATAAATACTCTTCTGGTGCTGCACTTTCTAATGAAATCGTGATGGTTTTTATACAGGTTCGATAAACTATCAGTTGGTTTATAAGCTGTCACCAGTGAAATTCTTAAAGTGACATGTAAAAACAAATTAAATAATGTGTGGTTTATTGAAATGAAAAAAAATAAAAAATTCTGTATTGTAATGTGGAATGAGCTGTGTTGATTGTGTAAATTAGTATTTCAGTTAGTGTTCAGATAAATTAATTTTTCATGGTTGAGAGAATTGTGTAAATTAATGTTTCAGTTACTGTGTTGAGAGAATTGTGTAACTGTGTTGAGAGAATTGTGTAACTGTGTTGAGAGAATTGTGTACATTAATACTTCAATTACTCTGTTGAGAGAATTGTGTAAATTAATACTTCAGTTACTGTGTTGAGAGAATTGTGTAAATTAATACTTCAATTACTGTGTTGAGAGAATTGTGTAAATTAATACTTCAATTACTGTGTTGAGAGAATTGTGTAAATTAATACTTCAGTTACTGTGTTGAGAGAATTGTGTAAATTAATACTTCAATTACTGTGTTGAGAGAATTGTGTAAATTAATACTTCAATTACTGTGTTGAGAGAATTGTGTAAAATAATACTTCAATTACTGTGTTGAGAGAATTGTGTAAATTAATACTTCAATTACTGTGTTGAGAGAATTGTGTAAATTAATACTTCAATTACTGTGTTGAGAGAATTGTGTAAATTAATACTTCAATTACTGTGTTGAGAGAATTGTGTAACTGTATTGAGAGAATTGTGTAACTGTGTTGAGAGAATTGTGTAACTGTGTTGAGAGAATTGTGTAACTGTGTTGAGAGAATTGTGTAACTGTCTTGAGAGAATTGTGTAACTGTGTTGAGAGAATTGTGTAACTGTGTTGAGAGAATTGTGTAACTGTGTTGAGAGAATTGTGTAACTGTGTTGAGAGAATTGTGTAACTGTATTGAGAGAATTGTGTAACTGTATTGAGAGAATTGTGTAACTGTATTGAGAGAATTGTGTAACTGTGTTGAGAGAATTGTGTAACTGTGTTGAGAGAATTGTGTAACTGTGTTGAGAGAATTGTGTAACTGTGTTGAGAGAATTGTGTAACTGTATTGAGAGAATTGTGTAACTGTATTGAGAGAATTGTGTAACTGTATTGAGAGAATTGTGTAACTGTGTTGAGAGAATTGTGTAACTGTGTTGAGAGAATTGTGTAACTGTGTTGAGAGAATTGTGTAACTGTGTTGAGAGAATTGTGTAACTGTGTTGAGAGAATTGTGTAACTGTGTTGAGAGAATTGTGTAACTGTATTGAGAGAATTGTGTAACTATATAGAGAGAATTGTGTAACTGTGTTGAGAGAGTTGTGTAACTGTATTGAGAGAATTGTGTAACTGTATTGAGAGAATTGTGTAACTGTGTTGAGAGAATTGTGTAACTGTATTGAGAGAATTGTGTAACTGTGTTGAGAGAATTGTGTAACTGTGTTGAGAGAATTGTGTAACTGTATTGAGAGAATTGTGTAACTGTATTGAGAGAATTGTGTAACTGTGTTGAGAGAATTGTGTAACTGTGTTGAGAGAATTGTGTAACTGTATTGAGAGAATTGTGTAACTGTGTTGAGAGAATTGTGTAACTGTGTTGAGAGAATTGTGTAAATTAATACTTCAATTACTGTGTTGAGAGAATTGTGTAAATTAATACTTCAATTACTGTGTTGAGAGAATTGTGTAAATTAATACTTCAATTACTGTGTTGAGAGAATTGTGTAAATTAATACTTCAATTACTGTGTTGAGAGAATTGTGTAAATTAATACTTCAATTACTGTGTTGAGAGAATTGTGTAAATTAATACTTCAATTACTGTGTTGAGAGAATTGTGTAAATTAATACTTCAATTACTGTGTTGAGAGAATTGTGTAAATTAATACTTCAATTACTGTGTTGAGAGAATTGTGTAACTGTATTGAGAGAATTGTGTAACTGTGTTGAGAGAATTGTGTAACTGTGTTGAGAGAATTGTGTAACTGTATTGAGAGAATTGTGTAACTGTGTTGAGAGAATTGTGTAACTGTGTTGAGAGAATTGTGTAACTGTATTGAGAGAATTGTGTAACTGTGTTGAGAGAATTGTGTAACTGTGTTGAGAGAATTGTGTAAATTAATACTTCAATTACTGTGTTGAGAGAATTGTGTAAATTAATACTTCAATTACTGTGTTGAGAGAATTGTGTAAATTAATACTTCAATTACTGTGTTGAGAGAATTGTGTAAATTAATACTTCAATTACTGTGTTGAGAGAATTGTGTAAATTAATACTTCAATTACTGTGTTGAGAGAATTGTGTAAATTAATACTTCAATTACTGTGTTGAGAGAATTGTGTAAATTAATACTTCAATTACTGTGTTGAGAGAATTGTGTAAATTAATACTTCAATTACTGTGTTGAGAGAATTGTGTAACTGTATTGAGAGAATTGTGTAACTGTGTTGAGAGAATTGTGTAACTGTGTTGAGAGAATTGTGTAACTGTATTGAGAGAATTGTGTAACTGTGTTGAGAGAATTGTGTAACTGTGTTGAGAGAATTGTGTAACTGTATTGAGAGAATTGTGTAACTGTATTGAGAGAATTGTGTAACTGTATTGAGAGAATTGTGTAACTGTGTTGAGAGAATTGTGTAACTGTGTTGAGAGAATTGTGTAACTGTGTTGAGATAATTGTGTAACTGTGTTTAGAGAATTGTGTAACTGTGTTGAGAGAATTGTGTAACTGTATTGAGAGAATTGTGTAACTGTGTTGAGAGAATTGCGTAACTGTGTTGAGAGAATTGTGTAAATTAATACTTCAATTACTGTGTTGAGAGAATTGTGTAAATTAATACTTCAATTACTGTGTTGAGAGAATTGTGTAAATTAATACTTCAATTACTGTGTTGAGAGAATTGTGTAAATTAATACTTCAATTACTGTGTTGAGAGAATTGTGTAAATTAATACTTCAATTACTGTGTTGAGAGAATTGTGTAAATTAATACTTCAATTACTGTGTTGAGAGAATTGTGTAAATTAATACTTCAATTATTGTGTTGAGAGAATTGTGTAACTGTGTTGAGAAATTTTGTAACTGTATTGAGAGAATTGTGTAACTGTGTTGAGAGAATTGTGTAACTGTGTTGAGAGAATTGTGTAACTGTATTGAGAGAATTGTGTAACTGTATTGAGAGAATTGTGTAACTGTATTGAGAGAATTGTGTAACTGTGTTGAGAGAATTGTGTAACTGTATTGAGAGAATTGTGTAACTGTATTGAGAGAATTGTGTAACTGTATTGAGAGAATTGTGTAACTGTGTTGAGAGAATTGTGTAACTGTATTGAGAGAATTGTGTAACTGTGTTGAGAGAATTGTGTAACTGTGTTGAGAGAATTGTGTAACTGTGTTGAGAGAATTGTGTAACTGTGTTGAGAGAATTGTGTAACTGTGTTGAGAGAA